CTTTATGAGGCATTAAAATCTTAAGTTGAAGGTAATCTAGGTTGGCTTTCCTTTGCAACTTATAGTTGGATAAACAGTCTCTTCTCTATGCATTAAGGGAGTCTTGGTTTCTAGTTATATAATGGTAGTCTTTAGGGACAAAGGTGGGCAATATTTAAATGGTTCTATGCATTCTTTGTTCAGCTTCCTCCCTGCCCCTTTTCTTAACATGTGTGAAGCGTAAATTAATATTATGTATTCAATTTTGGATGAAAAACAGCTGCAGATTATCTAACCTATTTCCATCTTTGTTAAATGTCTTCAGTGATAGAGTGGCAGTCGGTCGTGCTTTGGATCTCCCTGTATACTTTGGAGATGCTGGTAGTCGTGAGGTAGTGCAAGTGACTTCAGCACTTAAGACCACTTTCATGTCCATTATCTGATTTACTTTGAATTGCATTACTAGGTCCTGCACAAGATTGGGGCTGAAAGAGCATGTGCTGCAGCGGTAACTCTAGATTCTCCTGGTGCAAATTATCGAACAGTTTGGGCTCTGAGCAAGTACTTCCCAAATGTGAAGACTTTTGTTCGAGCTCATGATGTTGATCATGGCCTAAATTTGGAAAAGGCTGGAGCTACTGCTGTAATTATCCGATACCTCCTTTAGTATTTCCTGCTCTGATTACTTTATTCTGAAGCAATAAGAATAATGTTTGTTTCCATAAGTAATATCATATCTTCACAAAATTGGGAGCATTTGATTATAACTGGAATATTTACTCTAACTTATGTATCCCCTGCTTCTGTCACTTGCGTTTTCAGGTTGTACCTGAGACCCTGGAACCAAGTCTTCAACTAGCAGCTGCTGTTCTTGCTCAGGTAAATCAATATACTTTGACTACAATAACTATGTTGGAGTGTATTTATTATTGACTTGGTGAAAAATCTTTTGATTTATATGAATTTATATTTCATTGATTCTTCTGTGTTTTTAATTGGCATAATTTATTTTGATTCATGTTTATTCTTTCCTTGCTTGAATTGAAAATTTTTTTCTGCTGGAGGACCTATTTGGCATGCCAATAAGAATTTCATTAGTATCATGTGTCTATCGGTAAATTGAGGTTAGGCAATGTGAGAACTAAATTATTAGGACACAAATCTTTTTCAGGTGATGTTAAAAAAAAAAAATGAATTCATACTATCAGCATAACGCAGGAAATAGCGGCTGCCTTAGTGGAGGCCGCTCTGGTGCCTGCCTATCCTTTTTCTTTTGGGGCTAAAGAGATGATTCATTCCTCAAAACAGAGGATACAAACAAGAGAAACTAAGTCTGCAGCTTCTCATCATCTACCATCTTGCAACAACAAAAAAAAAAAAAAAAAGAAGCTGGTTGATCAAAAGAGTGAAAATCACCAATACAATTAGAAGTATTTGCAGCTAAATAATGAGCAAAAAAATTTGCTTCCCTATACATAAACTCCAAGGATACACAGCGGTCCCTATACAAAAAGAACCTAGCTTGCTCAATAATCACTGTAGGGATGAAACTCGTAGTTATCTCTGAGGATGAGTTTAATTGCTTCAATACAATCAGTAAAAATTCTAACCCTTCAAAAATCATTCATCCAGCACAAATTAATTCCCTCTAGTATAGCAATCAGTTCAGTAATGGCTGGTGGAAAATTCCCACCATTTGAATTGAAGCCCAATACCCAGTCTGCATTGCTGTCACAGATAAGTCCACTGCACTTGCTGGAGCCATTCTTGTGGGAGCCATCAACATCAAGTCTGATCTTGCCATTTTCAGGTTAAAATCGCTTGTTATAGTAATTCCCCTTTCTTGTTTGGGGGAACTGGTGCCTAACTATCTGCCTTATTTGAATACCATGATATAATGGTGAACGAGGGCAAGTGTTGAATTATTTATTATTATTATTTTGGTTCAACAGAATGCCGGTTTCAACTTGTGAGTTGATGGGCGCTGCTAAAATTCTGTCACCAGCAAGCCAAGTCTTCAAATGGCATTATTATTATTTATACCTTATGTATGATTCCGTTCCAAAGCTGTTCCTACTTCCTTGGGGTGTGATACACTAATCAATGTATACAGGGACAGCTAGAGTGTCCTATCAGTCTTGCATAGCGTACTAGCTGTGGACAACAAGCGTTATCCCATTAGATGGGGTTGGCTACATAGATTATATGATGCCATTATGCTCTATCATTTATTAAGCTTTTAGAAATATTGTTAATTAAAAGGTCTCACTCAACAACCTTCAAAAGTGTTCTCTTCAATCTTCCTCTACTCTTCTTGACAGGGTTCAAAATCATCTATTCCACTCTCCTCACTAGTGCCTCCTGTGATCTTCTTTATATATGTTCGAACCACCTCAAACGATTTTCTATCATTTTTCTTTCAATAGGGGCCATACCCACTTTTTTCCATATTTGCTCATAGGTTGAGTATTGTTTAACTCACCTTCATATAAATATTTAGCTTAGTTTCGGGTTTTTATTTTTATGAGGTTTTGTTCTTTAATGCATACGTTATTGTAAGTTTGACTGCATATCTCATTGAAGACGCTGGCTATTCCTCAACATGAGGAGAATAAAAACATGAAATGAAAATGGAAAGATTGTTTTCATTAAGCATCACCAGAATTGAAACATTGAATGCAAGATGTTGGATAGTTTAGTACACAATGGCGCTATGTTATAATATGGGGATGGATTATTGTTTGTTCTCTAAACATTGTCTCTTCAGGCTAAACTTCCCACGTCAGAGATTGCATCGGCTATAAATGAATTCAGATCCCGGCATCTGGCTGAGCTTGCTGAGGTATGTATTTTGTTTAAATCACGCAGAGAGAGGTTTGGGGTGAGTCATAAATCATTATGACTGTTGGGACTTGTTACTCATGAGATGTTTATTTGACCATCATCCTGTCTTTGGTATCGTAGACGTCAAGAGACATTGACTATATATGTGTTTTGGTGTATTAAGTTTCAAATGACAAATATATTTCGTTTTATCCAAGATACTAGGATAGGATGACATCATTTTGACTACTATCTTTTACCGTCCAAATACTATGGATATCTCATACGCATACGAAGTTTTAGCTTTGTTGATTGTATTGTTCTCTGACCAACTGACCATTTTCAATTGTTCCACAAAACATGAAAATCTCAAATACGAAAATACCTTGGTATATTACTCCTTATCATTCTATACAATGGGACCTGACCACTAGCATAGATAAGATGTACGTACCAGAAGCATCTAATGTCAACATTGATTCTCCTCTATGTTACTATATAATTGATGTCAGAATATTGATATATGTTATTTTTGGTTTATACAACAGCTGTGTGAAGCAAGTGGCAGTTCTCTTGGTTATGGATTTAACCGAACAGCGAGCAAATCCAAATCTCAATCCTTAGATTCACTGGATGATAACCAAATCTCTGAAGGGACACTGGCAATATGAAGATTGCCTCTTTTATAGAATGAAAAAGAAGATAGGAAAAAGAAAATAATTGTGAAAACTAGTTGATTAGGAATTCCATCAAATGTATACAGAAATACATCTGAATATAAGAAGATTCTGAAGTATTTTCTTTTTCTGTTTCTTTTTTTGGTTATTTTCTTTTTCTGTTAGAAAAATTTTGGTTCGCCAACTTTTTCCCCACATTGCTGCTCTGTAAAAGGACAAAATAAGTGTAGATGTGCCATTGGTTATGTAAATTTTTTCTCTCTTTTCCGCGGCTCGTTATTTGGATGTCCATTATAACAAGAGCTCATCAAGTACAAACAACGCTTGAAACATTTTTGTCTGCCAAGGAGTGCTCAAGTGTGTATAAACAAAAAATAAAGGATGACCGTCCTTCTTCCAAAGAACTCCATTGCTACGCTCACAATGTTGCAGGTGCAAGCACTTGGTCCTTCAATTAGAGAGGAGCATTTTTTACGTGTATTTCATGATATGTTTTGGGCTGGGAAGTAAAAAAAAGAAAGGAAAGCAAAGAATAATTAACCAATTTTTTGCCTGGAAGTCTCGGCATCAATCATTACAAAAGAAAAACGGGCTCATCCCTTCGTAACCATGCTTGACTAGCCCTTGCTTTAATGAAGCTTCGTTACTCAGACTGGGGATGGCCTCATAAACATGATAACCGTGACATCTTTCTTTCTTTTTTTTTTTTATAATCATAAAACTATTATCGATCTGAATTGAAAAGAGCTCCATTTTAGTGTTTCTGTTTTGGCCTCGTTAATGTATTATTGCTGTAGGAACAAGTTTGTGCTGATATTCTCTGTGAATAGTACTTCAACACCTGTGACAACGAATAAAAAGGATAATATGTCCAATGTCAATTTGTGTGTGGATTTTTTGAAGGTCCGAAATATATATATATATATATATATATATATATATTTTGAGTAAATATATGTATGTTCATAGAGTTTATACTTATAAAATCAATGTCTAAAACTGCAAGAAACCACATTACTCCAAATAACAAGCATCTAGTTACCGACTCAGCTTCTCTCCTCCGTCGAATCCCATATCTGCGTCCTCACTGTAGCAAAAGAAAATTCGGATTATACAGAATTAATTTGAAAGGTTCATATTTATTTTTATTTTTATTTTATATTTACTAAAATAAAAAAGTAGAAACTTTTTTAATAAATTTGCTTACCAATTTGAATAGTTTAAATTTAATATAAATGGTTTAAATTTAATATTAAAATTTTTTAATAAGTTGATTGCATTGTTTAGAATATATCTGTATAGTCAATTTTAATTTTTAATATTGAATAGATTTATTAAAATTTGTATAATATATATATATATATATATGTATGTATTTATTTTAATAAAATAAAATAAAAATAAAATATAAAAAATAAGGAAGGGTGGGAGGACGGAGGAGAGAAGTCCAGTGCACCAAGTTCCGGTTCAGATTTAAAAAAGAAAAGGTGTTAAATTTTTGGACGGACAAAATTCGTTGATTCCATATTCCATGTACGCGAACGCGACTTTTCAGAAGTAGAAGAGCAACGCTTCGTCGGTCAGTTCATCGAGCTCTTCTTTACCCTCGCCAACAACAACACAACGTCCAGATTTCTCAAACGCCGTTTCAGGAGTCATCCAATGGCTTCAATGGTAGCCACGGACTGTTCTCCCTCCTCCGCCGCTGCCCGCCTCCTCCCTGTTCGCCTCAGGACTGACGCTTTTTCCCTCCGCCGCTTGCTCCATTTGGGCCCCACATGCTCTACCACCTCGCCTCGATATTTCGTTCTTCGCTCTTCTCCTTTTTCAACGTCTCCTGTGGTTCCCACCGGTATTGAGCTCCTGTTCTTTTCTTGTGCGCTTTCTGTCATATTGCTGCTTCTTGTGTGAAGTTTTCGGTGATAGGGTTATCTGGTTTTGCATAAGGGGATGCCTATTTATGGTCTTATGAACTGCACAGAATGGTGTTTTCCTATTCTGAGTTCAACCCCATTTAACATTTACGGGCTATTAGTTGAGGCTTTCCTCGTATAATGTTTTAAGCTATATGTTTTCTTTGGCAGAATTTTATTATACACAGTAGAGTCAGCACTGAGGCTGAATTTATTTTCCTTTTTTGCTAAATTGCTGCAGTCTCAATAATAACAACCTAACTAACCATACTGATCTCTCTAATCACGTGAGAAAAGATTTATGTTTTGTACGTTGGTGTTAAATTTTTATTGTTGCAATCCCTTGCGATGCTTGTTCCGTTGAAATTTGGAAGTGCAATGCTAATTTGTTTTAAGACCAGAAACGACTTGAATCTATTTTGCCATTTACTTATTGATCATATACTATTCATAGATGCACGCGAGCTATGGAGTGTATTTGGATTACTGTATTCTTAAATTTGCTGAGGTCGATGCTGATTTAGGATGTGTTTTACCTACCTAGTAGTGGTATATGATCATTTAGTTTAAGACAATGTCTTGCACAATGAAGAATCTCAGGCACTAGGCTGGTTTATCAGATTAATATGCATAACTTTGTTGTGGATGAGGTTCTTAAATTACCTGATACGTATTTATTTTGGAATTTTAATGCCTGTGTTTATGTGCCTATGCATACACTGAAGCACATGCACTCCAGTGGTTCTTTCCTTTGCATTCTGTTGGGACATTATTGTTTTACTAGTATGAGTTCATAGAGTTCCATATGTCTTTATGCTCAGCTGCCATGGCTACTGAGGCTTCAGCTGAGGTGATTGATGGGAAAGCGGTGGCAAAGAAAATCAGAGATGAAATAACAGCTGAAGTTTCCAGGATGAAAGAAGCCATTGGTGTCATTCCAGGTTTAGCTGTAATCCTTGTTGGAGATAGAAAGGACTCTGCAACTTATGTGCGGAATAAGAAGAAGGCTTGTGAATCTGTGGGAATAAATTCTTTTGAAGTTCATTTGCCTGAGGATTCTACAGAACAAGAAGTGCTAAAACATATTTCAGACTTCAATGATGACCCATCAGTTCATGGAATACTTGTTCAGTTGCCTTTACCTTCAGTATGCATCTAAGTCTTTTGGCTTCATTATTTTTCAGTTGAATTATGCTTTGATGAGAATTTTAATTTTAGTCATATGTTTCAGATTATATTTAGATTGTACTTTTCTCCAATTAAAAGCTATTTCTACAAGATTGGGGCATTATATTAAGTTTCTTTCCATGAATAAATTATAAAATAATTTAGACTTAAGGACTGTTCTATTGGCTAAAATTATAGTTGCCTAATTTTTGTTTCAAATACTGTTGGCAGTTCACTTCAGACAATTTATTGACTCAATTTTTTAATGAATTTTCTGATATTTCGTCCCTAAAAAATGCCATGTATTCATTTTAATTAATCCTTTTTTTGGTAATTTGTCTTAACTGGGATTTCATACAGATTCAACGATTTGATGTTACTAATGATGGATTTTCATTATGTTATTTAACAAAAATATGGTTTTGCATCACATTGTATGCTTGCAAATGATTTAATGAGTCTATATCATGCAACCATGTTAATATTAAATATGAAGTCTACAGAGAGTTGTATTATTGATAAGACATTGGTTATTTAGTGCCTTGTCCAGTATGGCTCTTATAGGTTCTCTTGAATGATAATACTTTTTCTTTCCTTGTTGATTTTGTGATGTCATACCTAACTTCTTTCATGTCACGTTGAATGTAACATATGCTAAAATTTTGAAATGAAGAAGAAGGTTTTAATCCTTATTTGATTCATGTGTTTTCTCTCCAACTTCTGCTCGGATTTTGGACTCATTTTTGTTTTGCTCAATCTCGTGACAGTGCATGAATGAGCAGAATGTCTTGAATGCTGTTAGGATTGAGAAGGATGTGGATGGTTTTCACCCATTAAATATTGGTCGCCTTGCCATGCGTGGTAGAGAACCCCTATTTGTTCCATGTACGCCCAAGGGATGCATAGAGCTATTGCACAGATACGGTGTCTCTATGAAAGGAAAGAGGGCTGCTGTGATTGGTCGGAGCAATATTGTAGGAATGCCCGCTGCTCTCTTGCTGCAAGTAATATCTGATTGGTTCAAATTTAAAGTTTATTCACTGTACACACACCAACTTTCAATTAAATGTAACCGTTTATTCATTTCTTATGTGCTCCATATTTACATATTCCCCTGTCTGTGTATCTGGTGTTATTAGAGGGAAGATGCAACTGTCAGTGTTGTCCATTCCAGAACCAATATTCCTGAGGAGATCACAAGACAGGCAGATATAATAATCTCTGCTGTTGGACAACCAAACATGGTCAGAGGAAGCTGGATTAAACCGGGCGCAGTCATTATTGACGTTGGAATCAACCCAGTAGAGGTGAGTTGAGTAATGTTGATGGTTTTCTATTTTCTAATGCACACTTAACAGGCTCCTTCCTTACCTTGGTTGGTACTGGGTCTTCAAGGATGAAGCACATAGTTAATGCTTAAAATTATATTTTAATGGTTGTTTAAATGTGAGACTGGGTGTTTGTGACAGGATCCAAATAGCCCTCGAGGTTATAGGTTGGTTGGAGATGTTTGCTATGAAGAAGCCTGCAAAGTTGCCTCGGCTATTACCCCAGTTCCTGGAGGAGTTGGTCCTATGACCATAGCTATGCTTCTCCAAAATACCCTCATCTCTGTTAAAAGGATTCATAATTTTCAATAATTTATATGTTCGATCATATCATGGCCAGCGTGTTAGGTCACCAGCTTTCTTTCTCGGGAGGTTTGTCTTTAGCCCCATCTTGGTTTTATGTACTGCGCATTAAGGGGGAAATTTTTTTTTTTTTAATTTGGTTATTTTGTCAAGAAATAGAGGAGCAATATAATGTTAAGCATCCCTCGTGTAAAGGCATTTTATGATGCAAAACCTGGCTTCCCAATTGAGTGGGAGATTGATGACCAAGGTAGGAAATCTGGTTATACAAGGCAATGCCTTTTGAAGACAGTCAGGCATTATCCATGGTCCTTCATACAACGGCTCCTTGGATCAATTCCCTATGCGGACTAGGGGAAATAATATTAGGGTGTGTGTGTGGGGTTTAGGGTTTAAGGTTTTGACTCTACAGAAGATCTCACACTTATACGCAATGAATTCTCTACGAATCACCCCTTTGCTGCTACTATCAACAAAATCAGAGATCTTGTTATGAAAGATTGGATGGTCATTTTTTATCACATTTTTAGAGAAGCAAATAAATGTGCGGATTGGTTGGCTCACCAAGCTCCTGTCCAAAGCCCTAGAGTTCATATTTTTGATACTCAGCCTCTTGGTTGTATAAATTTCTTGTACGTTGATATGACACATCATATCACATAACATAATTTACTCGTGGCCTTTTATTCAAAAAAAATATTAAGGGTGTGTGTGTGTGGGGTATTTATGTGCTTGTGTGTGTGTGCCTGTGAGTGAACCCCCTTCCCCTTTGGGGAAGGGTTAGCTAGGACTATCAAACCAGAAAAAAAAATTGATAAAGTTTGAATTGATAAAAAAATTGCCAACGGTATACTAGTTGATCTGATTTCTTGCTTTGGGTACGTCGTATTCTAGATTTGCTATTTTCAACTCACCTAAAATCTGATATCCAAAGGCTCTAGCTTGGGCCGAAAAAAATGATATCTAAATAATACATTGTATTACTTCACTTTTTTTAAAATACGCATTTGGTTTTTTAATTTTATACAAAGTTTTAGATTAGTCTTTTAATTTTATAAACCATTTTTTTAGTCCTATAATCTCTAATTTTGTTAGTCTCAAATGGTATTGGTGTCAATTATTGTTATGTTAAAAAAGTTAAACTTATGTGATAATTATTGAGAATTTTTGTCAGCATTTAAGTTTAATGTAAGTATTTTTTGTTATTGAAATTGACAATTTTAGAATTACAGGATTTAAAGGACACTTCATTATACTAAGGGATTTGAAACTTAGTATGAATTTAAATGATGAAATGTAAACTTCTAATGATTTTTTTTTTATTTTAACAAGAGGGTTTAAATTATACATTTTAGATAAATTCACTCACCCTTATCCCGTGCCATTTGAGGCAATCCAAATAGCTAGAGGATACATTGATGCATTTCATTGTAAGACTAACAATGGACAATGAGTCTATTGTTCTATACTGTGAAGGATGAATATAAGTTTATGTGAACTGGGTATGGGGAATGAGAACTGGTTAAAGTAGGCTTCTAGGTTTAAAGAATGATTATATGAGTACTTATAGATTATCCACTAAACAAGATTCTCATACGAGTAGTAGAATTTGATCACATGACTTTAAAGATTATAAGCCAAATCTTTATCAATTAAACTAATCTTGATTGGTAGTATATTGTTTTACTTTATTAGATTATTTTCAATATTTGAAGTGAGGGATTTGCTTGCATCACAACCAATTGAGGATTTTTCTCCTTTGAGTTCATAACATAAGACTTTTATTAGAAGTTTTGTTTGATTTAAAATATAAGATATTGGGTAATTTTTATACTCATTTTGTTAAAAAATGTAAGATATTTTTAAGGAATTAGATGTTAAAAATGTAAGGTATTTTTAATCTTTTAAAGTGCAATCATTGTTTTTTTAAAAAAAAATATCTCTATTGAATGAATCACTTTTATATTATTTTTGGGTGAAACACCTTAAGAAATAAGAGTAAATATGAAAAAATATGATTAGTTTGAAGACAAGTAATTATTTTATTGGGGGTATAATTTGATTAAAAATGTCTTATATTTTTAAACGGATAGAATATTTTTTTTAACTATTCACTTTCTTCATTTATTATTTCTATTTTAAAAAAAGGTTCATTAAAATTTTAATTGTCATTGTTAAGGTATTTATATTGAGTATTTAATGGATATAACTCAAAAAGATGAACAAATTTTTTTTTAAGATTAAAATTTCAACCAAATTTTTTTGAGAATTGCAAAGTAATTACCAATGTTATGTACTATGGGTCAGAGAAAGTATCTTTTATGCCATCTTTTATATGTTTTTTTTTTTTCCAGGTGTTTTACCATTAGAAAGAGTACGTATGCCAATGGCCTTGTGACATTAAAGCCCTCTCTGTAGGTGAAAGATCGTATATTCAGTCTTGCTTGTAGTCTGTAACTATTATAAGAGGATCACATATTCAATTCTACTTGTAATTTTACATTGTTAGTGCCTGCCCTTCTAAGATTTTTTTTTTTAAAAGGACAAAGGGCTTCAATTTTTTTTTTTACATTTACATTATGTACAAATTTGGTAACCAATCTTGTATTTTTGTTGTTCATCATTCATAATTTCAACTTGTTCGTGCTTGTTGTGATAAGTTTTCACAGGCTCAATTTAATTTTAAATGGAGTTAAAGAGTATTCTTGCTTTTTTGACAAAACAAAAGAGTATTTTTGCTTTCAAATATTCTGAAAAGAGTGTTTGATATATTAAAATCTTAAATAGAGTAATGTTACCTTTAAAAATATTTTTAAACATAGCAATATTATCCTATTGTTAAATACATGAACTTCGACGATTAAATTGGATGAACCAAGGTTAGTGTATCTCACAAACTTGATGAATTAAAATTAAATTTCTATTGAGAGAGTGTTCACATTTAGTGTGTAATATTCTAAATTTTTACCACAATTCTTTTTTGCAAATCTATGATCTATTTAATAAGACTAAAGTTATTAACACTTGCCATGAAAAAAGGTCTACTGTGATAATAAAGAGTGAAACTTACTTTTCTAAAACTCTAACATGATAAAAAAAGTTTTAACATGGTAGAAATGACTTTAAATATTATTTTAAAAATCTACTATGATAGAAAAGAAATTACCATGATAGTTAAAAAATAAAACCATTTTTGTAAAACTTACTATGATAGAAATAGTTTTTCTTACATTAAAAACCCTTCACAATTGGATTATCATGGTAGAACAGGAGTTATCATGGTAAAAAAAAAATCAAACATAATAAAAAATTATACCATGGTAATATAGGAAATGCATATATTAAAGTGTATCTAATAGGATCCTATTGAAAACAAATGTTTAAAATTATTAAATGATGAAATAGGTAATTTAAAGCAAGACATGGTTTTTGGGGGCTAATTTATCCAAAATGATATTAGACGGGGTCAAAGTCAAAAGAATATTTTTAGAAGTTAAATTACAAAGTAGGGAAATTTTTAGAAAAAAATGGGCGCCACAATAACAAAAGGCATTTAGTTAAAGGTCATATGCTGCAGCATAAGCATATTATGTTGCGGCACATAACACAAAGAAGGCCCCCTCGCTCTGTGTTGTGTGCCATGGCCCAAGTGATGTGTTTTGCGGCATACAATGCCTTTGAACAATAATGATAGATTTTGATAGACATCTAAATTTCAAACATGTATAACTTTTTACATACAACTTTAATTTGAGTGCCTACACAAAACTTATAAAAAATCTTAGTTAATGAATTTGGTTTGGTATAAAAATTCCTCCATGTGAGGCAAAAGCACAACTTTCCAAAAACCAAACACCTTACAAACTAAAACTAAAGCCTCTAGTCATTGGGCAAGACATTTGACTAACCTAAATCCATGACAAATAAATTTACGTCATCAACTTGATATATCCATATAAAAATTTTCATAATTAAGTTACAATCCATTCAACACAATATATAGATATAATGTAATAAATGTGGCATAGCAACTCTCTTTTTCATTCAAAATGTTTAGATGACATCAAAGCATATCAAAAGGCCATGAATGTTACTAAAAACTAACTCATAGCAATCAAATGCAAGTTTTGCACAAATGATGGAGCCACATGCTCATAATTATAAGAAAATGTCATATTGTTGGCAAATACACATTTAACCTAAATCAAAAGACGGCTGATAACTCTCAATGGTGTTTACTCACACCAAGCTACAGTTTCGATACTTCTCTGGTCGAACTATTCCCTGTAAAAATATTAATCATGAGGAGTGAGACACAAAAGTCTCAATAATCAAAATTAATATACAATGATACATACAACGCAACTAACTATGCAATTGCTAAGTGGATATACAAAATGATTTCCAAACAAAGGTTATCTGAACAATTCCAAACAAGTTATATTTTGCATGACAATACCTTATATCCCTCCAAATATCATGTTTAAGACCAAATTACCTGACTAATGGGGGGCCGGTCTAAGCTAATAGCCACTCAATGAGAGTTTACCATAGATAAAATATAACTTTAGAAAAAATCCCAATAACACATTTTTCAAACAAGTCTCGACATATCATGATTATTTCCAAATAATCTAGACAAAAACACAATTGAATAATTTTCATGCTTCCGAACAAATTTTGATTCTAAACAAAAGAGATACGGATATAATTCATTTCACTTGAAAATTATTTTTCCAAGCATAAAAGCGGATTTCTCAAATATAACTTGACTTCCAAACAACATAAAACACATATAGCCAATCATAATGCACATACAATCACACATTAATAGTTGTTGCCTTTACTCGCTTTGCTGTTAGAGCTCCTTGAAGAGGTGGATTGTCACCTTCCTCGAGATTCTATCACAATTTATAAACAATACAATTAATTATAGTCAATGATTTGCTAATTAACACGAATTATAAAGTACCTACACACACTAACCACACTCTAATCCTAGGGTAGATTCATTAACCTAATTACTCAAAATTGCTACAACCATTTAAGCCCTTAAGTGAACTCGTTATCATCATCTTTACACTTGTATCAACCTTGTTTAAAACCTCATTAACACCAAGATCCTCGTCAAAATACATCTACCAAGCCTAAGGTTTCCTATCTAACCTTCCTACTACTTTGACCAACCTCAAAGTCATCTAAATAACACTTATATATCCTTAAACACTCATTTAGTTCAAACTAAGGGCTAGAGTTGCTCAAATTATAAACCCTAACTTCAAACACTGTTAAGCAAGCTACAAGAGAGGAGTAGAGGTTAGGAATGATATTAAGATAAGTTACTTTGAGTGATTTGAGTCCCAAAATTGTGCCTGACTCCAAAACTCTAACAAAACCACACCAAAAATCACCTCAACTCTTTCAAAAATTTCTCCATCTCACATCTGTCTGTGAAGAGATAGATAATGAAAATTTTGTCTCATATGTCATGATGAACACACCATGTGCTGCAGTACATGACATAAAAACAAGACACTTTATTTAATCCCATCATTTGGGCCTAATCCAGCCTAAAATCTATTTAGACTCCAATTAACCCAATTATGTCATCTTAGGCCCAATTTCAAGCATAATTAAGGCCTAAAACATGTGTTTATCCTCAAATAACCTCAAGTACCAATTTACCACTGATCAAATCTCAAAATAATATTAACTTAATTTTATCAATCCAATCAACATAATATTTCTGTAATTAAATCATATTCTAAAAATTAAGATGTTATATAGTGCCTGACCGTGTCTCTAGAGCCAACAAAATGGGCTAAACTCATCGGCCAACCCATTAAAGCCATAACATAACTAGGGTCAAGTTGTTGAATTAGGGTTTAATCAAATTTTGGGCTTAAAAGAGCCGGCCTTAATAGGCCTATAAATAAAAGTGCTAGACCTTAAGGCTAAGGGCCGATCCTTTTAGGGCCTGTTGGTTCAAGGGGAGGGGAGGGAAGGGGAGGGGAAGGAGGAAGGGAAGGGGAGGGGGGAGGAGGGGGAAGGAGGGGGAGGGGAGCTCCCCCCCCAGTTGGAGGGGAGGCCTTTGAGGGGAGGGCCCTCCCTCCTCCAACCAAATGAGGGGAGGGAAGAGGAGCCCCTCCCCTCCCTCCCCCTCCCCTCCATCCAACACTCCCTTAGGCTTGATTATTTTTTTTTAAAAAAAAGTTCAAGTAAAAATTAAAAAAACACCAAGTGCTTATCATACTTTAAGTCTTATATCAACAACAATAATCACTTTTGATTATGCATTATATGTATATGTTAAATACTTCATCAATTAAATTTATTATTTTCTAATCTTATTTTATTTCAATAGTATTTAAGTGATATTTCTTTAATCCTTTACAAATTATAATGTAGGATTTGTAAATGTAGGATTATCAAGATAATTATATGAGTATGTATGATTTTTTTTATGGACAAGTTTGAACTAGAGAATTATTTGGGTAAATCATTACTAAGCCTCATAATTTGAAAGAATTAGATATTAAAATGGTGAAAGAACAATCAACATTGATTTTTAATTTTTTTAAGATAACTACTACTATGGCTAGTGAATCAGTTTTTAATATTAGCTCACATATTTTGACAAAATATCAAAGTTTTTTTCTTTCAAATAATTTTAAGCCTATTATTTATATTCATAATTTGTCACATAATTTTGATAACATTGCTATGATATTGAGTTTGAATGTTTAAACTTTTATAGATTTGTTGTGGATTTAATTAAATTTATTTTTTAGACTTTATTTTATGTGTAATATCTATTTTGAAATTATAAGTGTTATTTATTAAGCTTTAAATAAAAAAAAAAAACTTGTGGCCCTATAGCCCTAAGGGCCAAGGTTAGACTTTAAATCATGAGCTCCAAAGCAATTTTGGATTTTTGGAACCTGGCCTTTTAAGGTAGGGCTAGTCCTAGAATTGTCATCAATAAAAAGATACTTACAAAAAATAAAAAAAGTTAGATGAGAGAGAAAGAAGTCTAACGAAAAAACTATCATGTGCATGGCCAAGTGAATGAGTGGCAAAAATGCTGACTTTTAGAGAAAATAATGGGACTTTTATTTGGAAAAATCGCAAATAAGAACCTCAAATTATCACACAAAAACCATCATGACAAAAATATGAAATTGAACTTTAAGAACATGGTCTTTTTTTGTAGCTTTAAAAATAATATTTTGACTAAAATGCCCATGTCTAATGGCAAGGTTTGTAAGTCTAGAAGTAAAATATTTTTCAACTCAAACAAAGTGATTTCATAATCCCTTTAACTAAACTTTTGAGCCAATTAAAGTGATTTGAGAACTATCAAATTTTAAGTTAGCCAATCGCAAGTATAGAAATAAAAGCATTTCTAATTCAAATAAAGTAATTTTATAACCTCATCCAATTAAATTTCCAATTCAATTAAAGTGAGTTAAGCACCAGCCAATCTTAAGTTGGCTAATTGCAAGTCTAAGAGTAAAAACTTTTCCAACTCAAAAAAGTGATTTCATGACTTCCATAAACTAAATTTTCAATTTAGTTGCAGTGATTCCAATACTAGTGAATTTTAAATTGGTCAATTACAAATCTAATAACCCATATTAAAGCTTAGGGTAAAAATTTTTTCAACTCAAAATATTTCATAAACCCCTTCAACTAAATTTCCAACCCAATTAAAATGACTTTAGTACTAACAAATTTCAAGTTACAAGTTCGGGAATAACAACATTTCCAACTTAAATAAACTACTCTCTCCATTCAAAAATGTAAGATATTTTTTGAAGAATTGAATGTTCAAAAATATAATACATTTTCAATCTTTCAAAATATAATTATTGTCTTTTTTTAAAGTATCCCTATTGATAATAACTTTATATTTATTGCAGGGTGTTTAATAAGAATAAATATAAAAAAATAAAATTAATTTGAAAGTAGATAACTACTTTATTGAAGGATGAGATTCAATTAAAAATGCCTTATATTTTTGAACAAAAAGAGTAATTTTATAATTCCTTTCAAATAAATCTCCAACCAAATTAAAGTAATTTCAACATCAACAAATTTGAAGTTAGCATTTCAAATAGGGGTATTTTAATTAAAAAATATTATTTTAAAACTAAAGAAAAAAACTATAATTCTAAAATTCAATTTCATAATTTCAAAGTTTTGATCAGTTATTTGTGATATTTAAAAAATTTTATATGCAATTTTCCCCTTTTCTTTCAACTCTCTCTCCAACCCATCCTAATTTCTCTCGTGTGTTTATCATATTCCCAAGAAAAAAGTTAAGTAACAATAAATTATAAATTAATACCATTAACAATGTGCTCAAAATTTAATCGATCAAGGCATCAATTTAAAAATTAATGGTCAAAACTATAACTGAACCATAATCAAACCAATCACAACACCAATTCAGCAATTTATCAATTTAATCGGTAAGTTGATCCAAATTTTCATACTATGACCATTAAAATAGAAATCCCTCAACGCATTTTGAACTGATCTCTTAAACTATATTCAAAATAAATATGCATTATGGGGAAACTTGAAAGATCACCACAGCGTTGCCTATAGCAGTAAACCACTGAGGACATAAAACTCTTTGCTGCTTTTTTTCTTTTCCCCGCATGACGCTGTAACTCGTGTAAATGAGAGGCTTCCTCAAGACAGGTTGCAAATGAAAGGTAGAGACCATCACATTCCAAAACTTCCCATAGAAGGAAACATGGATGGCTGCAATGCAATTTTGCAAATCAGCTAACCCTACGGAGACCATTTACAAACCCTTGGATTTCAGCAAGAAAGTGAGCTTGTCACCGCAGACCAATAAGTTATCTCTCATGCTCATCTCATGTCAGTTATGTGATTTAATTTAGATTTTGATTGATTTGTGAAGCCTCCAACTAGGCAGAAAATCAAAATCTACCACGCAATGTAAACAACGTGACTCCAAAATGGCCTGCACTTCACATCATTCTAATCAAATTTCAGATAGTCAAACATTTGATCTCCATCTACAGTGATTTCCAAATTATTTCAACAAAAATACATCATCTAAAATCTTCAAAGTAGGGCATGATGATTGTTCATCAGGCATAACAATAAATAGTTTTTCAATAAGCAACACCACTAAAAGGGGCAAAAAGATACAAACCAAAAACATTCTGAATCATGTTATTTAGATTCAGGTGTTGTTTGACTGTCACTTCTTCCGCATGAAAGATCTAATCTTGCTCCAAATTGATCTATCCCAGTCCTACTTTGTTTTGCACTTCTAAGAATTGAAACCTGGTAGATATAAGTAGAAGCATTATTTTCCAAAAAGGCATTGTCTGGATGGAGAAAATTAGTGAGATTAAATCATCAAAGTAAATTCAAATTTACACGTAAGTCAAAGGACAAGGAGGGATAGGTATTCTAGACTTCACTTGATGGGGTCATGGTGTAATCGTTTCATGATTAACAGTCTATCTCTAAGCCTAAGTTAAAAATTCAAACAAAAGTTTAACAGCATCATAATAAAACTGCAAATTATTCTAGTCTGATCGCGTCTCAAATAGGATTGCCTTCAATAAGAGAGGCCTATACACAATAAAAAAGGAAGGATAAAAAAAACAGCTGCAAATGATAGGAAATCACCGATTCATCAAATTGTCCTAAGCTCAAGCTACCTTAGGCCGTTCCATGGAGCTTCCAAAATATCCTACTCCAAAAGATAAGGAAGTGTATGCAGCTGCAATCTCTACAGCTTCCAGCCTTGGTAGTTTTCCTTGACCCTGTGAAAAGAACAGATTAGAACATTTTAATGAAACAATCAACAGGAAAAGCTGAATCCAGATCTCACTGTTACAGATGCATCTGCCTGCACAACTAAGATCCCTGAACTGCCATCAGCACCAGATCGACTGCTTTCATCAACAACTGTGCGTAAGATTTTTGTGCAAGCAGCGGCAGCACCAGATTGCGAACTGCAGAGAAGGCAAAATCAGATAGATCCAATAGGCAGACTGTTGCTACAGCAAATAGAACTTTTTTCTTTCATTAAGACTGGAAGTAAATAAGACAAGTAAATACTTGATGCAATTCAGCAATAAGGTCCAACAATTAAAATCAGAGAAAAAACCACAACTTTTTCCTTCCAAATATATGCTAAATCACCATAAAAAGGAAAACAGTAAAATTAGAGCACATACAATTACTGGTATCGACTAAAATATCAAGACCCCTCCCTCTCAAAAAATATTAAAATATTTTAGACATCCATACATTGATAGTGAGACACAGCACTCCCTTGCCGCAAAACCTTTCATTAGGTGCTCTCCAGCACCAGAGACACAGCATCCAACCAAGAAAGGAGCCCCAAAAGGACCTTTAGATGATGCCCAACAACCTGCACCATACATTGCTGCTAATCCCACTCGTCCACTAACCTGTCAAATTTTTTGCATGCATAAATTTGAGTAATCACATGCTACTATTAAATTGAAGTATTGGGCACTAAAGATTAAGCAAATCAAGAAATTTTTTTGTCACCTTCAGAGCAATACCACCACTGGAAGCCCCAGATGCTACATGTCCCTCAGTGTCCACACAAATAACTCCAACCGTGTCCATTATGTGATCTTCGGAAGTATGATCTACATCTGTAGAAAGAAAATGGCATACAGCTTCAGCAAGAGCAAGTCCATAGAATATCATACTTTTAAGTTGTAGCCAAATGATTTGAAAAAGGGAAATAAAAACATTGACACTGATAGATTTGTTTAGCAACTAGTTTTTTCCTGAGCAAAACCACAAGCACTTAAACCATTTGATGGAAATGCAATTTGTCAAATGCTGACGAAGGGTCAGTTTGACAACTTGAAGTAGTGAGAGTACTTTCTACTACAAGATTTTCTGTGCAAAGCTTCTCTACATTATTTGTTAATACTTTCTTCCCTTGATCCCTCTATTATTACAGTTAGCTTAATATCCTTTGACTTTTATTGCTTCTTTACTTTCCAATTTTATACCCAGAGTTAAATCTCTCTGGTTTCTGTTCTGAAATGCACACAACAGAATTAACAAATAAGATTTACCATAAGTGCAAAGACCCACTTAAAGCTTTATACCCCTGAGCTTTTGTGAATGGAAGTTAATCTGACTATCCAAAAAGTTTGTAATACGAAAATAATAGAAGTCTATGTCATTTAGATGATTATTGACTGTTGAGGGTAGCTAGGTCATCTAGCTGTCTTTTAATGATTTTACTCAGCATTTCTTAGAATCCTATAAATATTAGGAAGCCTCCTCATCTGTAAATAGCCTACTGACGTAATGAAATAATACTATTCAGATCTATACTCTCTCTTCTGGTTCTCTCTATCTCTTATGTTTCTTTCTCTTTCTCTCTCAATTCTTCTCTATTTCCCATCTTGCTTCTACCTTCTTTTCTATCTTCTGTGTCAGTGGTATCTAGAGCCAACCCATCCTTGGCAAAACACCTCTGATTTCTTCAAGAAGGTGTAGGGTGATAGGAACTCGCTCACAAACCCAGAAAGCAGTGGAAGGAGGATGGACAGGCTTGAACAAAAGCTAGCAACAGTAGATACCCCCAGCGATCAGTTTGTGGGGTTATCTAACCAGATCCAAATGCTGATGAGGGAGTATGAAGAGGGCTCCAACAACCATGGGCGCAATGTAGTCAAAAATGGCAGGAATGGTCCTCACCGAAATAGAGATTATAAGCATGGAACACATGATGAGTATAGGAATTTCCAAAGTTTTCAAGATCTGATGTTCTTGCATGGATCTTGAAGTGTGAAAGATACTAAGTTAGATGGCACTCTTGAAGAATCCAAGATCAAGATGGCCAGCATCAGTCTGGATGACAAGGCCTTTGATTGGCACATGGCACTAGAGAAAATGTGGGAGGAAGAGAATCCTACCTGGGCGCAGTATGCAAAAGCATTAAAGAACAGATTTGGACCCTCATGAATCTCCTATGGCTGATCTAGTGCGATTAAGATAGAAAGGATCCTTGGCAGATTACAATGATGCCTTTGACTCCATAACTCGCAAGCTACGATTGGAACAAGAATATTTGGTTGGAGCACATATTGAAGGGCTGGAAGAAAATTATGCTGGACCTGTATGGCTTTTTAAGCCAAAAACATGGGAAGAGGTATGAAGTTTCTCACGTATGCAAGAACTAATGCTACAAAGGCAAGCTGAAAAGAAGAATAGTACCAAGAACACTGTCCCAGTCATGGCTGGAGTGAATCCCACACCAAAATTTCATCACAATTCTTGAATACCCTACAAGAATGCTCTTACAAGCAGTGGATCTCAATCAAAAAGGAGTTGACTACTGCACCCTCTAAAAATACTGTTTTTACTCCTAAAAGTAAAACTAACAATATGAAAACACTGTCTGCAGAAGAAGAAGCAGGATATCGCAGCAAGAAATTATGCTTCTATTGCCATGGGCAGTTTTCTAGAAACCATAAGTATCCTCAAAGACAAAAGATACAGCTGCAGTTCACTGAGATGCAAGAAACTCAAGAAAATAGTCCCAAATTGATAAACCAGCTGAAGATGTAGATGAAGAGGAACAATAGAGGGGGTTGATGGCACATCTTCAGGGCTGTAGGGAACTGTGGTAAAAAGCAACTGCAAACATTGATAGATAATGGCAGCACATAGGGTTTTTTAGATCTGGAAATGGCCGAGAAGCTTGGTTGGTAATCCAATAATATAGGAAAATCTTGGGCAGAAGTGGCTCGAGGGGGAAAACTCAAGATTCATGGCATGTGGAAGAATTTTAAGGGCCTGTTTTGTTGGAGAGGAGGAGAGGGCTCCCCTCCCCTTGTTTGGTAAGGTGGAGGGGAGGGAAGATTTTTTAAAATTTCCCCTCCCCTCCCCTCCAAAACCTCCCCCCCCCCCAATTTGGGGGGATGCCCCCCTCCCCTCTCCTCCCCCTCCTCTCTCCTTCCCTCCCCCCTCCCCCTCCCCCTCCCTCCCCTCCTCTCCCCTCACCTCCCTTCCCCTCCATTCCCCCCCTCCCCTTGAACCAACAAAGCCTAAGTGTAGAATGCAAGGCTCGGAGTTCGTTTTTGACTTTAGAATTCTTGATCTCAAGACATGACATGGTGCTGGGGTTAAAATGGCTACAGTGCATCAAGAATGCATTCTGGAATTATGAAAACCTTGCCATGTACTTTTGCCATGGAGATCAACTATGCAAATTACAGGCCAATCCACCCAATTCATGGATGATGGTGCAACCAAAAAGCGTAGAAACAAGGTGTGAAAGAGATGAACAAAGGTCTCTATTGCAACATATGAAGTCAACAAATGAAGAAATTCATTGTTTTGTCCTGCAAAAGGGGACTGATCCTAGTAGTTTGAAACCCTACTAATATCCATCAACTCAAAAAGATGTAACTGAGAAGTTGGTAGGGGAGCTACTGGAGTCAAGTTATTCACGAAAGCTCTTCACCTTTTTCTGCCCCAATTGTTTTGGTAAAGAAAAAGGACGGGTCACAGAGAATGTGTATAGACTATAGGGAGCTGAATGAAAAGACAATAAAAAATAATACCCTATTCCTCTAGTTGAGGACTTATTTGATGAGCTTTGCGATGCCAAGTGGTTTACAGAGCTAAGGGCAAGATATCACCAAATGCACATGGTGCCTGAAGATGCATATAAAACAGCATTCAATGCTCATTTCGAGCACTATGAGTGGCTGGTTATGCCTTTTGGATTAACTAATGCCCTAATTACATTTCAAAGAGCAATGAATTCTATTTTTAGACCTATTTTAAGAAAATTTGTTTTTGTATTTTTTTGATGATATTTTGATACTATCCTTCTTTGGCAGATCATGTGGAACCTGTCAAGATGGTGTTGGAGGTTTTAAGAGCCAACCATTATTATGTAAAAGAAGGAAAGTGCATATTTGCAGCAACCAATGTTGAGTATTTGGGCCAAATTTTGGGGAATGGGACTATTTCTACAGATCCCAGGAAAATTGCAGCAGTGGGTAAGTGGCCTGAGCCAGCCAACATCAAGCAATTAAGGGCATTTTTTGGCTTAGCAGGCTATTATAGGCAATTTATTCACCACTATGGGCAGATTACTCAGCCTCTCACAAATTTGCAAAGGAAAATGAATTTGTATAGTCTGAAACAGAGGCAAAAGCCTTCAAAATATTGAAAGAAATGCTGTATTCAGCTCCTGTCCTAGCCTTACAAGACTTCAACAAGGCCATTATGGTAGAAACAGATGCATGCGACTTTGGGATAGTGATGCAATACACACACTCTCTCCCTCCCACTAGTTCAAACAGAAAAGGAAATGGGAGATCAAACAGAATAGAGAGTTAGATGGGGAAGGGAAATGAGAACCAAGCAAGGGAAAGAGAAGAGGAAGGACGGAACAAAGAGGGAGGAGAAAGTGAGGAGAGAATGCAGACTGGAGGGAAAGAGCATTCACAATATCTCAAATAAATTCATTCATCAAATCTGATTCTGAATACATGAGTCACCCTATTTATAAGCATAAGATTTCCTTCCTAACAAGGAAACCTCTACCTACTTGCTGAAACAAAATCATTTAAAATTATTTCTACTTGCTGGCTGATTTCCTTCACAAGGAAACTTACAAAAGTTAAATGAAAAGCAACAAAAAACTAAAACTATTTTCTTCTAAAGTAATTTTTGCCATATTTTCTATTAGTTCCCCTTACTTTAAAGAACTCTCATCTAGAGAGATAGAGAGTTGATAGGCTTGTAGCAGGGAAAGATTAAGTTGCTGGAATTGATAGTCTAAAATCCAAGTGGCATCTTCATTTGAACGACCACTCCAACAAACCAAATAACGACGGAGAGGCCCCTTAGAGGTAAAGACCATTTGATCATCCATGATAGTCTCAATTTCTTCAACTGATGGTGAGAGAGCCGGCAACGACAGAATTGGCACTTGTGGAGGCCGAGTACCTATAGAATCATCAGAAAGCCAAAGGGGAGGCTTAAAAACTCCCTAGTAAGCCATAAGATCCTCCATATTAAAAACTAAACTTATGACCATATTAGGAGGTACTTCTAAAAAATAAGCATTAGGTCTTAATTTCTTTGCTATGCGAAAAGGTCCAAAAGCTCAAGTATGCAACTTTTTAAAAGCGTGTTTAGAGTAAAATTTTAGACAAGTTCGAGTCATAACATAGTCACCTATATTAAAGCTTTGAAATTGATGATGAGTATTAGCAGATACTTTATATTGATCATTATTCATTGCTAACTTGTGCATAATTTTAGCATGTAATTCATGAAGGCAATTGGCAAAGGATTTTGCAAATTTGAAGATGCGAAATGTCAATAGGATTGGCATAAAGTCAATCGGCTATTTAGAAATAAAACCTAGAAATCTGGAAGAAACTCATGCCTACCTAGTCACCGAATTATTATATGCAAACTCAACAGTGGGTAGAACCAAATCCCAATTCTTCAGCTTGTGTATGACTAAACTTCTAAGCAAATTACCTAAACTTTGGTTAGTAACTTCAGTTTGCCCATCTGTCTAGGGTGAAAAGCAAAAAAGAACTTCAGCTGGGTACCAAAAAGTTTCCATAGGGTTTTCCAAAAAAAGCTAACAAACTTAAGA